CAGGATGTTTTGAGACCAAGGTTTTTAATTGTGGTGCTGTATCCAAGTAGCTGTGGAGATATAGGCAAGTCTAATCCTTCCTGCGCCTTGATTATCTTCCTGAAAAATAAGGAAGCTGTTGTAGGTCTATGAGGTCACTTCATGTTCTGGGGTGTCTCTGAGTCAATTATGGAATAAGATGTCTGTAATAGAGATCAGTAACAACTGTGGTCAAGAGCATACCCAACCCTGATTAGGTTTCCTTCAGGAGCATCTCGCTGAACCTTTGGCCTGAGAATGCAGAACGAAAAGAGCATAATAGGAGATGCAATGCCTGGTGGGTGGGAGATCCAAGAAGACAAAGAGAAGAATGAGGTGACAGTAGATCCTGGGGTCACAAAAGTGGGTCTGAATGAGTGTACCTTCAGGCTGAGTTCGGGAAGGTCCAGAGAAAAGCAAAGAATGTGCACAGCATCATCACCCTCCCTAAATAGCAACTGGTACTGAGCAGCAAGGAATGAGATAGTGCCCTTATCCAGAACTCCTTGAGTATCTGAACAAGGAGATCGACAGAAGGAACTGCAGCCCTGCTTTGTTCTCCCAAGGAAGACCTATGCCAAGAAGAGGGGATGTGCACAGGAGGCCTTACTCCAGACCCAGAGCCTTGACCCTGGAACTGCCCTTCCAGCAATGCCCATCAGGTAAATGTGGGCATGGATGGATGGAAACACTTGGAGGTGGGCTGGGGATGCCAGTCATTACCTACACAGTTCCTCCTTTAGGTCAGGAGATACAAAAAGAAAGGTTCCCTTGCACCAAAGCAGTGGTGATACTAATCTTCAGCACATCTTCAGCCTTTAGAAAGGTTTTCACAACATTTTCTCCTGAGTTTTGCAAGTAATGCCCTCCCTAGGCATTGGCAACAGGCAATAAAGCCTGATCTATGCCCTGGAAGTGTCCAAGGGAGTGAGGAAAGATGGCCCCAAACCAGACAGTTCCAGTGGGGTGTGACAACTGCTGAGTGTTGGGATGCACTGGTTTTGGATGCAGCCCAGACGAGCAGTGTGTGGTGACATTGCTTCCTTATCCCTGCCACATTTATCACTGCTCAACACATGGATTTTCTCCTCAGACACTCTGAAGGAGTTGTCAGGATTCCCCTACAGAAATGAACTTTGCTGAGGATTTTTCAAAATGGAGAAGGCAGAGGATTTGAGAGGCCACTGGGACAGAATGCCCATGAGATGATGTCTTCTCTTTTCAGCCTCTGAGCACATGGTTACTGAGTGCTCCTACCTAGCTGTTACTGGTGCTGTTATGTGCTGTTGATGCAGAATGAAATGTTACCCCAGCTCTCCAGGAGCTCCACCTGGAAACAAGAAACTGCCAAAAGGCACGGGAAGTGCTGTGACAGACATATGACTTGAGTCCACGGTGGAGGGGGAGTGTTCACCTTGGTGTATGGACACTGATGCAGTTCTTTGAAGTCCTGTTCTACTATTTCTGCTTTTCCAAATATGTAGATTCAACACTATTTAAAGATTTATGTTTTTATTTGACAGAGTATTGGAGATGTAGAGATGGAGGGGAAGAGAGAGAGGGAAAGAGGAAAGAGAGAGAGAGAGAGATATGGAGTTCTTGGTTCCTGCTTTGGTCTGGTCCAGATGTGGGTGGAAGGGGCCCAAGTACTTGAAGTATCATCCACTGCTCCCCAAGATATTTTGACAGGGATCTGGATCAAAAGCAGAGTGGCCATGACTGGAACAAGGACTCTGATATGGGATGTGGCCTTCCCAAGTTGTTGTTTAACCTGCTGGAAAATGGCATCTGCCCTCCCCCAAAACACTGTTAAATCATAGTAATATGTTAAGAGCATCATGCTTTCAGAATGAAAGAATTTCTTGTCCCACAGCTCCTGTGCCCATCCTTGGTATAGAAGGCCCATGTCACTGTCATACTTGAGATACATGGACCTGTGTGGAAAAAGACACAGGACATTGTAGGATTTGAATTCTGGATCTGTCTTTGCTAGTCTGAGTGACCTAGAATAAGCCAGCTTACCTCTCCCTGAGTGTAGGTCTCACCATCAGTAAAAGCAGGCAACTGCACCTAACTTGCAGGGCTGTTGAAAAGCTAAGAAGCACTGCATCTTAAGGCTGATACAGTGCCAGGGCTGAAAACAGTACAGCTTCAACTTTGCCTCTAGTCATTATTGTCCTTGTGACAAACCTGCCTTCTCCCAAGTATAGAAGTCACTGCAGAATATTCAACATTTTTCTTTTTTACAAGATTTATATTTACTTGAAAGTCACAGTTATGCAGAGAGAGGAGAGGGAGAGAAAGAGATCTTCCATCTGCTGGTTCACTCCTCAGATGGCCACCACGGCCAGAGCTGTGCTGATGCAAATCTGGGCGTTGGGAGCTTCTTCTGGGTCTCCCACATGGGTGCAGGGACCTGAGCCCTTGGGTCATCTTCACTGCTTTCCCAGGCCATAATAGAGAGCTGGAGAAGAAGTGGAGCAGACAGGACTCGAACTAGTGCCCATATGGGATGCCAGCACTGCATGCAGAGGCATTACCCACTATGTCCAGAGTGCTGGCACCGTATTCAACTTTTTCTGAAGAAGGTATATTTGTTTTCAGAGGGTGAGGAGCATGATACCCTCAGGACATTGGTCCTCATGGAAAGGCCATGCTCTGTGCATCTGGGCTCAGCACAGGCCACTGCCCTGGGAAAAAGCCCTTGGAAAGCCAGCTAAGGGAGCAAGAAGAGCTCCAGTCAAGTAGAAAATCAGAAATCATCTCTGCTCTGCAAAGGGACATCTTAACATCAGATTTAGAGTGCCAGCGAGGTCATTAGAAACCTCAGGAACCAGGTGTGGTGCCTGTCAGTTACAAATGATTATTTGTTTAGTCTGGAAAGACCCCAGAAGTTGAGTTCTATTGCCTCCTTCATGAGATATTCTGTGATGAGAACAAGAGATGGCTGTGTGGTAGCCCCACACTTTTCTTCTTTCTTTTTCTTTTTTTAGATTTATTCATTTGTTTGAAAGTCAGAACTTTAGAATTATTTTTCTAGTTCTGTGAAGAATGTCATTGACATCTTGATGGACATTCAATTGAGTCTGCAAATTGGTTTGAGTAGTATAAATAAGTTAAAAATACCAATTCTCCCAACTATGAACAGTAGTGGTTCTCCATTATTTGTTTCTTCTGTAATTTCTTTGATTCAGATTTTCTAATTTTCCTTGTAGAGATCTTTTACATTCTTATTTCAATTTATCCAAGGTAATTTGTTCTTTTGAAGTCATTGCTCTTATTATTTTCATATCAAACTTCTACTTGTTGGTTGTTGCTTTCTTATCCTGCAGCTTCACTGAAGTAGTTTGCCTATTCTAACAGTCTTTGATGTAGATGTTAGGCTTTTCTACATAGAGACTCATGTCATCTACAAATGGAGATGTTTAACTTCTCCTTTCCTATTTGTATGCCTTTGTTTCTCTTGCACAATTGCTCTGACAGAAACTTCTTGTACTATGTTGGATAAGAGTGGTGACGGTAGACAACCTCATCTGGTTCCAAATCTTAGCTGAGATTTTCCAACATTTTCCATTCGCTATGACATTGACTGTGGGGTTTGCCACTTACTACCTTTATTATGTTGAAGTATGTTCCTTCAAAATCAATTAATTCAGGGCTTTTATTTGAATGGATATTGAATGTGGCAAATGCTTTTTCGTTATCTACTGAGATGATCATGTAACTTTAATCTTTTGTTCCATTGAGGTAATTTGTTATATGTATGATTTCTGTGTTGAACCATCCTCACATCCCTGGGATGAATCTCACTTGTTTGGCACAGTGATCTTTTTAAATACGGTGCTGCAGTCAGTTTTCTAGCAGTTTATTGAGAATTTTTGCATCTGTGTTCATGAGAGATGTTGGCCTATAGTTTTCATTTTTGTGGTGATGCTTTGTCATTGTCCAGTTTTGAAATAAAGGGAATTCTGACCTCATGGAGAACTTGTTAGGAAGGATTCCCTTGCTCTACATTGCTTTGAATCATTTCAGATAAATTGCTGTTAGTTCATCTTAAAAGTTGGTAGTACCTGTTAACCAGGTTAGTAACATCAGTTGTTACTAATACAGTTACAAACATCACAAAATGGATGGAAGAATCTACGTCATTGGAATTAGAAATCCAACACAGTTGTCATGGTACTGGAAACACCTCTACATTTATTTCAAACTTTTTTTTAGTTGTTTTGGAGATTAAATAAAAAGCACACATTTTGTTTTCATTATGTTATTGCTTTCTCTTGATTTTTCAAATTAAGTTTACAAAGGAATTTAAATAGATAGAAGGAAACTTTAAAGTAACCTCATTCATGTATAGAGGAAGAACATACAGATAATAAAAACTCAAAAGGCAGTTCCTCTAAGCCAAATATGCCCAAGGGAGAGAGAATGGGTTGTAGTGAAGCAGAAGGGGAACATAGTTAGGAGATGTATCACTAACCCAAATGAGCGCCTTGGAGTCATCAAAGATGGGATTCTGAGCAGCAGAGTTTTGTTCAGTCTTCGTACTTCCTTAGAAATGATTTACCATCTCTGGCAAGTTAACCTGAAACTTAGCTGATCCACGAGGTTGGAAGACATTAGAATCCAGAGCCTATTGAATGAGTCTAGTGTTATTCTGGACCTTAGGAGAGAAAAGTGGACGATAATATGCTATTGGTAGAATAAGGGAACGAACAGAATCAACAATGTTTCTAAAAAGAATAAATGACAATGAGAATTGAGTTTTAGGAAAGAAAAAGGGTATAGTATCTTGGTACACTGGGGTTGTTCTCTGAAACACCTTCATCCCAAACCATATTCCCTTCCATATCATCCTCCCTGTATTCATTTCAAACTATGACCCCTAAACCTCCATAATCTCATTTTTAGTTCTAAGCTCTAATAAGATGTTGAAAGATATTTCATATTCTCATTCAGTGACAAAACCTTATAGAAGAGGCGAGAGACTATGCATTGTCTTTATTTACCTGCATTGTGAGAATGTTCACATATTTCCTTGCCGACATTATGTGTTTGGCTAAATGTTCTGGCTCTGATGCAGTGAAGTACAAGTACTGCATGGCTTATGTGGTATTTACATCCTATTGCCTTGCTAAAGACCAAGAAGATCTGTCTTTGAAAATACATTTGACTTTCATAATTTCAGATACAACATTGTGGCCGTGAAGCTTTACACGTACGTATATGGTAAGTAGAGGTGCATTGCATGTAGAAGGTGAACATTTCACTTAGGATCTGTGCTCTAAGGTGTCTGTTTCCAATTCTTACATGTGACCAGCAGACATAGTGTGGTGCTGTGTCTTATTCTATTTGATTTTTGAGTGTGGAGGGCATGAAATCTTGCTCAGACGTTCCCTTCTGTAGTTCAATGCTGATCTCCTACCTTGAGAAAACCTGGTCTCTAGACTGCGGGACTTCAGTTAATACAAAGATGAAGCCATAGACTGTTTTCATCTGCCAATGTCATGCCCTGTGGATGAATGTGTGTCACTTGAACCTCAGGGAAATTCCAGACTGGATGTGTACAATTTTAGCATGCCCCAGACCCCACACAGAAGTGGTGACATGAGTGTCTCAGATATGTTGGCCTATATAGTAGCCAAGACCCCAAGATTACAGTGGTGTTCTTAGCAGAAAGGAATGTCACACACCAGGCAAGAGCCTTAGAGAGAATCACGGATATTAAATAGCAGATCAAATTACATCAGTCAAAGACCCTAATCTCATACTTCTCTTGGACATCTCAAAGAATCTGAAATCCTCGATGATAGGAGTTGTGTTGCATATAGGAAAGAAAGCTTGCAGATGCCTCCATATTTTGGTCCTAGTAGCCCATGAGGCACATATATGCCCTGGAAAATGATGCTGTAATAAGTGCTGCTCCCTTTATTCACTGGCCACTCTGCCAGAACCAGAGAACATGTTCATTTAAATATGGCCAGAGGAGTCATTTCCTGTCCCTCTTCTTTGGGACATTGTACTTTCATGATCATCTCAAGGATTGTGATGAAAGTGAAATGTTGTCATTTGTACAGTGCTTTGCCAAATGCTGGGTATAAATTCACCAAGAAGTTCACTGTTACTTTGTTTTTTAACACTACCCTAAATCCACCCCTGTACAATGTAAAGTAGGACATGTAATCTTGTGATGCTTTAGTTTATGATTTTTAAGATTAAGAATTTGATGAATAATTATTTCTGCCATAGAATATGAAGATCAAGACAGCTGAAAATGAATTTCTTCATACCTTTGATTCATCTCAGAAACTGATATCTTACACATTAGAGTGGGAAGATGCTGAGGGGTTCAGGACCAGCCTCATTAGTGGAATTCAGCTACCATTCAATAGGACTTAGCCAATAAGAAAATTTATCAGGCAATGTTACATAAAAACTGCAGATGGATCCTGTTCAATATGTAGATAAACTGAATGCAAATATGAAAAGAATACCATCAGATTTGCAAGTTTTCCCACATGGATGTTCACTGTGTATTGGGGGGGGTTCACATCAACTATTTGTGTCAGTTGATATCTTGAAAAGGCTCTTGTGGGGCTCGAATGAAACCCGTAAGTGTCAAGTGTAAAGTGTCCGTCAAGTGATGGTGAAACAGGGCAGGCCCACTTAGAGGAAGACACTGAGGATGTAAGGGCATCTAACTGGCTTTCAGTTGAATGAAATGCCCATGTGCTGCCCCTGTCAGGGCAAAGCCAGCACAACCCTTGAGTGCAACAGAAAGTCTACTGAGATGGGATACAAAACATTTAAAAGTGAACCCTTGGCTTAGTGTTTGCTGTGCTTTTTCCTAACAGATTATTGGGTCTAAGAAGCTGAAGAGTCTGAGAAGAACATCATGGCAGTTTATAATTCAACATCTCTCAGTGGTGGAAAAGCCTTGTGGTCTCTTTTGACATAAAGAAAAGTTGGAGTGACTTTATGACAACCCTTAAAGTAAAAATTGTTAGGATATGAGTCCTGCCTTAATCTTTTAGAACAGAGGAATGAGAAATATGCTTAGACGCTTTTGGGAAAAGGTAGGACTATGGTTTCAGCCAGGGGTACACAACTGTGGAGGCTGTGTTGAGTGGGTGGTCCCTTAAGACGTTAAGAGGTGGTCCCCTTAAGACTTTCAGAGGTGGTCCCCTTAAGACTTTAAAAGGACCAATCAGGCTTGTGCATCAGCCAGGTGGCCTAGGCAACTGGAAGGCAGTGGCTCCCAAGATTCCATGATACCCCCGTGTTTTGATTCTGTGACAGTAACTGCCAAGTTACCTGGAAGTGAAGCCCTACTTCTCTCACTCTGTCAGATGTTGAGCAATAAGCAGGAGCTTATGCTCTGAGCTCTGGCACCTGACTGAATCGAGAATAAAGGCGTTAAAGTGTTGTGGGGTTTTCCTAACAGTAAGTTGGGAGGTACAGTTATCCTCATCTATCAGTCCTACTGAAAGAGGTTTCATTTTCTTTAACTCCTCTTTTTCTTGGGTGTCTTCTTCCTAGTCCCTGGATATACTCATTTTGCTACAAGCATCGATATGGCACTGACTCTCGGTCCCTCACTTGACGTGAGGGTAGAAACCAGTGAGCAATTAAGCTCTCAACTGGCAAAGAGCCAACGAGAATCAAAAGAACTGAAGGAGAAGCTTCTTAGAGCTGAGGCTAAGGCCTACCTCCTGGCAAAGCACCTGCGGGACCACAGTAAGTTCGTTCTTTTCCCTGTGTTTAATGTTTTATTTCTAAAAAAGAAATAAATAAAATAGAGAAATTTGTTAATATAGATTGAATGGGAGGCACAGCATTATTCATGTTCCCATTCCACAATAAGTTCTATAGGTTCAGTGTCACCGAAATGATGAGTATTTGATGTCACCTCTTGGAGAAATGACCTGTTTGCTAACCTTGATCCTTCTCTTCTCTCTACCAAATAAGTTACATAGCTACCATGCTCTGAGAAGGATTAGCGTTAGTAGTTGCAGCATCAGTTGGTTGTGCAGGAATAACTGAGGCACAAGTTCAGCCAATTTTCCACATTTTCACTGAGCTGTAGGGTGGGAATTCTGACACTGTCCCGCTCCAGCTGAGTCACTTTGCCAAGTCCCTTCAGGTGCATTTGAACTCTTCTTCGCTCATTTGCTGCCAATGTAGTATTTTCTCAAATGTTATTTTAAATCTTTATCCAATAAATTGGTGGGAATTATATACTACTATAGCTTTGGTGTTTCTGTGACTACTTTAGAGTTACTTAACATAAGTGAAGATGAGCATCTTTTGATTTGATTATTGTATATAACTCTTCTATTCTCTGGCTGGATTATGGTCCACTTATCTTTATTTCTTGAACTGTTTATTAAGTAGAGCCATTAAGCCTTTGGTAGTAGTATAAATGAAAAAACATTATATGGGGCCAGCGCTGTGGCATAGCAGGTAAAGCCACCACCTGCAGGTGTTGGTTTGAATCTGGCTGCTCCACTTCTGATCCAGCTCTCTGCTATGGCCTGGGAAAGTAGTCTAAGATGGCCCAAGAGCTTGGACCCCTGCGCCTGTGTGGGAGACCTGGGGAAGAACCTAGCTCCTGGCCTCAGGTTGGCACAGCTCCAGCCATTGTGGCCATTTGTGGAGTGAGCCAGTAGATGGAAGACTTAGCTCTCTCTCCCTGCCTCTGAATCTCTATAACTCTGCCTTTCAAATAAATGAGTAAATCTTTAAAAAAAAGTTAACTGAAAAAATAAGAAATAAAATATTAATTTTAAAAAAAAGAAGGGATTAGAAAAAATTCCCTGAGGGGCCGGCACTGTAGTATAGTGGGTAAAGCCACCGCCTGCAGTGCCGGCATCCCCTATGGGTGCCGATTCAAGACCTGGCTGCTCCACTTCCAATCCAGCTCTCTGCTGTGGCCTGGGAAAGCAGTAGAAGACGGCCAAGGCCTTGGGCCCCTGCACCCATGTGGGAGACCCGGAAGAGGCTCCTGGCTCCTGGCTTTGGATCGGCCAAAGATTGAAAGACCTCTCTCTCTGTCTATTGCTTTCCTTCTCTCTGTGTAACTCTGGCTTTCCAAAAAAATATATAAAGCTTTTTTTAAATCCCTGAACAAATATAAATAAAATGGAGATTATAAGTGTCCTGTCCCTGGGAGCTAAAGAAACAAAGAGGAGGAAATTCACACCAAGAGCTTGATGGTGTAGCTCCACTTCCTGACAGACAGTGACCTTAGCAGCCCGCTCACCTTTCCACTGAGGCAGGTATGTGTGCGTGTCTTTCCTCAGATTGTGAAGAGTATGAAGATCTAATTGAATCAATGCTGAGGGAGCCGCACTTCCTGGAGGGGCAGCTGGCAGAGGAGCTGCTACCTGCGGAGATCTCAAGTAAGGGGGCTCTCTCGGGTGGGCAGGTGGAAAGGTGAATGCATCTCTCAAGTGGGGCAGCTCAGCTGGGGAACCAAGAACTGATGTGGCCAGGAGAAGGGCAGGGATTTACATGGTGGGCTGACCCCTCAGATTTATAAAGCAGGCAGACAACAGAGAAATCACCAAATTGTAGGCTGCAGTGGTATTTAGAACCTCTTTTTGACTTGAAAAACGAGGCACTTATTGACTTGAAATTCACATACAAAATTGAAGAACGAACCACACAGAGACGTTTTATCCACACAGTGCTGTAGGATCCCTCCTCATTAACTGTGTCTCCATCACCTCCTGACCGTGGATGCTGTCTTATTCTCCCTGTCAGTCGTTATTTCTGCTGAAAGCCATTGTGCCTGGCATGTTTCTGTGTCTACCTTTGTGTCCACTCGCTGCACACTGCATTTTATAAGGAAAGGTCTGTGGCTGGAGTGAGGAATTAAGGAACATGTTGGTGAGGGAGCTGAGGAAGAACCTTGGTGTTGTTTAGAGAACCAAAAAATCAGCCCAGTGTCTAGTAATCTCGCAAGGTCTGTCTCTCTACTAAAGAGGAATCTCTTGCTCCATCTTTTCCTCTTCCCTACTGTGGGCATTTTCCCACACAGGCAGTGATGCTGCTTAGAGGGCCCTGTGAGCACATCTCACCAAATCTCTGCAGAGACACAGAACACACCATGGGGCCGTTCCACCTTGACATTTCTCTCCTGTCACACCTTAGGAAATGTGGTGTTCAAATTCAAGAGCAGGCCCAAGAGCTGACCCAATTACAGCAGAAGTTACAGGAAGGGAGAGCTCTTTCTCAGCTCATTCATCAAAATCTCCAGGCCCTCCTCAGCAGGACCCTGACAGCTGCCAGAGCCGGCAACTACTCACTGAGCTGCTCAAGCTGACAGAGCACCTTGTTGCCAAACTCAGCACAGGTAAGGTGGCCAAGGCTCTGAGACTTAAGATGGTCTCAAGTTGGCATCCGACTCCACACTTCTTCAAAGAACATTTACCAACAGTCTGTAGTTTGTGTAAACAATTCTGTAAAGTTCTCTAAACATTTGCGGCCATTTTTGGTCAGGGTACTTGTGTAGGAACAAAGAGTGGGAAATGCAGAGCTTTGAAGGTCCCAGGGCTGCAGAGATCTCCTCCCTGATGCAATTGGCCTTGAGCAGGAGGCCGCATCCTCTAGCTTTTTTTTCATGCTTGGATTTCCATTTTATTTCCATTGAAATACACTTACCTTTTTATAAAGATTGATTTTTTATTTTATAGGCAGAGTTATGGGGATGGGCGGGGAGAGAGAAATTTACTGTTGAATTGATAGTATATACAGACTTTTCTAAACCCAGATCTGGGATTTTTTTTTTTTTCCCAGAGAAACCTTTTGGGGAACGGGAATAGGAGAGGGAGAAGGTGGGGTGGGAGCTTCAGTGAGGCTCCTGATGCTTCCTTCACCAGGGAGGCAGCCATGCACGGTGTCAGAGGTCTTTGCTCCCTAGCAGGGCAGGCAACCGTTTGCCAGAGCACATGTCCTGCCCATGTGTCTCTATCCCTGTGACTCAATCTCAAGCTCTATCACCGCCAGAGAAGGTGGGGTGGGAGGGTGGGTATGGAGGGAAGAGTTACTGTATTCCCTCCAGTTTCAAAACACAGGAGAGAGGATGTGACTGGAGGCAGCTTGTGAGAGGGAACAAAAGCCACAGTGCAAGAGTGGAAAGTCTCGGCTGCTCCTCAGCGTGTTTTCACACACGTGTGACAGATCTTTTGTGGATTTCAATCTCCTTGTCTGTAGAGTGTCAAATAATCTGTTTCACAGTAGAAGTAACACTATGGCCATCTCCTGTGGGATATTCACACCCTGGTAACACTCCCTGACAGCCACAGCCCCCTGCATTTTGCAGCTACCTCTGGATTTCAGCCTAGCAAACCATGTGGCCTTTCTCTTCCCTGATGAAGTTGACTGAGCTCCCGAGTTCTCTAGAACACTATGCCATGCCCTCAGTGTTCCATCTTGGGCATTAGGTCTGACTGGAGCCACTAATGCCCTACACTCTCTGGGTGGCCCAGAGATCCTGGTGGACCAGAGGCTCTGTAGAACTCACACTTCCACCCAGTAGCAGTACACAGAGTTCACTGTCCATTCAGTCTCCAAGACAATGAAGAGCAAATTCGCATTTGGCTGTTCTCAACCCAACAGCCAGGTAGCCTATTGCTGGAGCTGATGTTGTTGGGGGCCAGATGATCTTAGGGTTTCCAGAAAATGAGGCCACGGGAGATGTGGGTAACATCCTGTTTCAATGGAGAGAATGGGATCACCTGGCTCCAAGGGCATATGATCAGGCCGGGATGGTGGCCTGGAGACACACTGTAGCCTCTGAGGCTGTTGCCAAAGTCCCAGATGTCTCTCATGGAAAAGTAGAAGTCCTGGTGGCGGTAGCTGTGGCGTTGGACCATTTCCTGAAGGTGTCCTTCCTTATCTGACTTGATTTACAGTCAACCAGACATCTGGGAACCAGGAGGAGCCTTACGTGGACTCTCCCCATACCAGGTAGGTCTGCCAGCCCTGTGGACTTTGACTTTGCAGGGATCCCTGAAGTGTCACAGTAGATCCTGGGAGAGACAAAACAGGCTGAGGGAGCCATGGCACTCCCACAGGACCATGTCCTCCTGTCTCAGAAGACAATATTGCATCTTGTCGTGGAGTTGCCCAAAGGGGTTCGCATGGCCTCTTCCACTCACTGCCCAAGAGATAGTCTTAGGGTTGACTCAGACCAAGTGGCCTTTATGTGGAATTCTGGAAGTCACCACAGTTTCCCTGGCTCACAAGAGGAGAGGGCCACTCTCTGGACTACATTCAATTTCTGTCCATGCAAGGGCATTCCATCTGTGGGTGGCACAAAAAGTGATCCATTGAGATCCCAGAGCCAGCCATCAGAAGGCAGAGGGAGCAGTCTGAGGAGTGGGGGTGAGAGAGCCAGAGTGCTGGGGTACAAGACTCCTCAGCAGGTGTATCTGTCATCATCAGATATCTGGGGAGTTGATGCCTGAGGGTCTCAGGGGTGACCCACAGCTTCAGTGAGGCTCCTGGTGCTTCCTTCACTGGGGAGGCAGCCATGCAGGGTGTCAGAGGTCTTTGCTCCCTAGCAGGGCAGGCAGCTGTTTGCCAGAGGACATGTCCTGCCCATGTGTCTCTATCCCTGTGACTCAGTCTTCAGCTTGTCACCGCCAGTCCTCTCAGAGTCACCTTGTGACCAGGGAGTGGGACACCTGCTGGGGCCCATTTTTCCTCTAGCCACAGATGCACTGTTACTGCTTTGGAGGGCGGGCATGAGTTGGTGCTACTCACGTCCCATGTTTGTAAATGTGCCTTATCTCCACACTCCAGCAGGCCAAGTCTCAGGCTGGCCCAGCTGGAGCTTCTCAATGGCCTGCCTAAACCCAGAGTGGGACCCTGGTGGCCCTGTCCTATGGACAACATTGTGGAGGTGGCTTACGATGAGATCTGTGCCAGTGTCTGGAACCTCCAGCAAGAAGAATGCTTCTTCAGGGAAGCCGGCCTTGGCAGTGAGTACTCTGGGGCAAGGTGATGCTTCGAGCCCCAGGGTTCTCCCCAGTACACAGCCACAGGTCTGCCTTGCAGCCACCAGCCCTAGCTGAGTAACAAGAGCACTGTGTGCTGGAGCAGGGCCCATGGCTTCATGGTAGGAAACACCAGATTACACAGCATGAACACATGTGGAATTTGGGGATCTAAGCATAGTACAGCAACTAGAGTTGGAGTCATGTGGTTCCCAGAAACACCCCATTAGATAATACCGCCTCATGCCCACAGCAGTGTATCCGACCAGCCAGAGGCTTGTCAGCACAATGAGTCTGGCTAAAAACGATGGATGAGACTAAGAGCCTTCAGCAGCAATCTCTTCACAAACTGCTGAAACTTTGTAACCGCTACCAGTTCTGGAAGAATACAGGAGAGTAGGAAAAGATAAACAGGAGCACAGGGCCCAAATGAAATGAACCCAAAAAGCAGAGGGTAAAAACTCCAATGGTCACTGAGGTCAAGACTGTGGTGAGGCAGTTAGAAATCGAGTTGAATTGATTGTCCATAACAAACCATGAGAAAAAGAAAACCCAAGACATCCCAGTGTGGAGCTGACACTTCCCAGCAAAATAGCAGAGGTCAGATGAATTGACACCCAGTTAATGAAAAATGTGCTGAAAAAAAGCAACAGATATCACTACTCACACGTTTAGTACCTTTGAGTGATACTGCAGAGATATCTCTATGGAGATACGAGGCCTTAACACGTCTACCAATGACCACAGCATTCAGGGAAGCCCTGCCATTCGAAACACCTAGAGTCCTGTGGTATCACCAACCCAGCGACTGGCAGGGTAGGCAGGGAGAGTCAAGTATCCCACCTACCTGCCATTAGAATTGTGCGTGCCAGGGCTGAATGTTGCTTGTTGGCAGCACGGGGCAAAGATGGGCGCAAAAAACACTAAGTGGGGTATAGAGCGCAATAGAGACCCTGAAATGTAGTGGGTGATGGGCGGTCCGAAGACTACCCTGGCAGGCAAGCAAAGCCACTATCTAGATTAGGCCTATCTAAACGCCAGCTTCTGAGCCACCAAGACAACCACACTGGGGTATGTACACATCTAGGCTGTGCGTGGGTAAGCCTAGTCCTCAGTGGGGCCTCCCCTGTCTCATTCCATTTGCAGTCGGCCCGACGGCTCTGGATCGGGAGCGGCCTTCCCTAGGTCCTGCCCTGCCCAGGTAGGTCTCCCGACCCCGTGAAGGCCCCGCCCCGGGGCTGGGATCCCGGCAGACTTCCCCGCTATCCCGGGAGGCCCAGGGCTGGGCCGCGTGGTGCCCGCACACCCACTGCCCCCCTCGGCCCCGTGTGTCTGTGGGCCCGGTGGCAGCATGGCCTCCAAGCGTGCGAGTGACACGGAGGTGGCTGTGGCCTGCCCCCACCCCTGGGGAGGCCGTCCCGGGATCCGTGCGGACCCAGTGGCCCCCTAGGACGTCCTGCAGTCCGGTGGCTGTCCCGCTTTCCACGCGGAGGCTGACCGGAGTCTGGCCCGCAGTCACGACCCAACCACATCACTCAGCCTTCGGTGGGCGGCACGGGGACGGGTCCTCGGGGAATCCGGGCCACTCCACAGAGGCTGCGGAGGCAGACTGTGGTGGGGGAGGGGTTCTGACGGTGGCCAGAGGGCTGTCCCACCTCGACAAGCCAGGTGCATTGGTGGTGCCAGGTGCGGCCTGGGCAGTCGATGCGTGCCGCAGAGCTCCTGCGAGGGTCCTGGAGTGCTTTGGGCGGGGTCAGAGCTCTGGGGTCCGAGTCCATTGTCTGCCTGGCCCCGGGCCCGCCCGGCCCGGCCGGCCGTCTGCGGCTCAGTCCGCGGCTCTCTCCAGCAACCCCTGCAGAGCTGAGAGCTGGCCTGGCGGGGGACGAGGACGCCTCTGGGGCCCACGTGCCCATAGCCACGCAGGCACTGGCTTCCCTGGGCCGGCAGGCAGGGCCCGGGGGTCGACCACCTGCCGCGTTGGTGACCCTGCTGTGGTTTTCCTTCCCACCCCAGCGGGCCCGAACTCGAGCTGCCCGGCTGGGGCAGTTCCCTGTCCCATGTGCAGCCATCGCGGGACCCCGTTGGCCGTGTCCTGCGGCCGGGCACGTGGCCGTGGCGTACCTCCAGGTCTGTGACAGCGCCTGGGGCCTCCGGCGGGAGGAATGCCACATCTTCCAGACCATAGACATGTTCGGTGAGTCCTCCCGGGCAAGGTGTCCCCGCTGAGCCACTGGGGCTCATCCCTGGACAGCGCCAGTCTTCCTTCGCGGAGCCAGCCGCGAGGCTGAGTCCCGGGGCACAGGGCCGCCTGAAGCGGGGGGCGGGTGGAGGGGGGGGCCGGCACACAGGGCCCAGGTCTTGTGAGACCCCATGGGTGGTGGGTGTGAATGAAGCATATCCACGTTCACTGCGGTGTCCGGGTCGGGCCTGCCTCTGGGGTGTGGGTCACACTGTTTGGCCCCGCCTGACACGCAGCTGCCAGGTCCCGCGGGGCACGTCGTTGCGGCCCCAGAGGCTATTCCAGGGCAGGGCCAGCGCCCGCAAGCCTGCGCGCTTCAGGCTGGCTAGGAAGAGGGGGCCACGCCAGCAGCCTTCAGCCTGCTTCCTTCCCAACCCGCAGACAGCCCCTGAAAGCCGCAGCTCCCAGCTGTGGCAAGCAGACAAGTGGTCCCTGGCTTTCGCATCAGCTGGCGGAGCGCGAGCGCCAGAGCGCTCTGGAACGCTCTGCGTGCCCTGGGTGTTCCGTGTGCCGGGGGGAGGCCTGAGTCGCCGGCCTCGACGCCTCTCCCAGCGACCACAGCATTCTGGGAAGCCCTGGAATAGCCTCTGGGGCCGCAACGACGTGCCCCGCGGGACCTGGCAGGCTGCGTGTCAGGCGGGGCCAAACAGTGTGACCCACACCCCAGAGGCAGGCCTGACCCGGACACCGCAGTGAACATGAATATGCTTCACACCTGTGGGGAGCAACTGGGAGCAACCCGACTAGACTAAGTTACTGGAATTAAGACTTATTCTATGCATCTGCTCTCCCACAATATGGCGGTGGTGAGGAGTAAACAGCTTCTACACAGCTTCTACACCGGCCGCAACAGCCATTGGGGGTGAACCAACGGAAAAGGAAGACCTTTCTCTCTGTCTCTCTCTCTCTCTGTCCACTCTGCCTGTCAAAAACAAACAAACAAAAAGACTTACCTTTTTTTGCCTCCCTTGATATTCCTGATCAGACACTCACTCTCCCAATGCATGTAAATTTACCTGTAGCATTCCAGTCAGACACTGTGTGACACAGTTACTTGTACTGGGATCTTAATGTGCCTTTTACTGTCTGATTTTTATTTGTAGTGTACCAGATGTACGAAGAGAAGGTAGCAGGTTATCTTGGTCCTAACAAACCCAAGTAAGTCTCCAACTTCTGTTACTGCTTACTTTGTTTCAACACTTGGGGAATCTAACTCCAGGGAGAAAACAGCATGTGTTGGGGTGACTCACCGTACCCCTAAGCCCATAGCCGAATGTTTGTAGGAACAAAGTTATTCCTTATCATGTGAGCGACCTGCAAGTTTCCATTGTTTTCCCCACTCTCTCCCTTGGATTAACTACAGGGCAAGCGCAGGTCAACCAGCCTACTCAGGGAGTTTGGTCAGTCCTGGCCACTGCCCTGCCACACTCAAGGCAGGGTGATCCCTTTCTGCCCTCAGCTTGTTGCCCATGTGTATTTTTGCCTTCCACTGATAACACAAAATGAGATGGGACCTGACCTCGTCAGATGGTGGGCAACAGGCTGGGGTGAGAAACCTGGGGTGCTAAAGCACCTCCTCAGCAGGTGCATCTTTGTGACTGAAGCCTGCACACTTCATGCCTTCATTGGTTTCTCACATGACCAGTAGTAGGTTCTGTTTGGCTCATTAGTATCAGTGGAGAGGGTGCCAATGGTGGGTGGCACAGCTTTTTCCTGAGTAGCTCACTGCCCCTGTCCCTCAGTCTCGGGCTCTGTCTGCACTCCCACTGTGAGGCTTCAGCTTGATCAAGCAGTGAGCCACTGGATGGGCTCCCTTTCCTTTGGTGACAGAACCTTTGCCCTGCTGTTTAAGCCAGGAAGGTCGTGGGAAGATTGCTCCTTTTGTTAATTTCTTATTCCCTTCCGCACCTCCAGGGTCTGTCTGAAGCTGCCCAAACCAGAACAGCCTGAGTTCCTGCTCAGCCCAGTGGCGTGTCCATATCCATCTTTAACCATGCCATCACTTGTGGATTGCACCTGCCGCACTGCTGGCAGTGACTGGGTCGTGTGCAGGTGCCACACTTCTGCCTGTTTGTTTCTGCTAGTAGTATTCCCAAGGAAATTTGGCCAAGTTCATAATGATCTCCCTGTGTGAAAACAGGACATGTACCCTACACAGTTCTCCCCTTGCCATTCAGTGTAGTTTTGCACACCGAGCCTAAGGCACATTGTGTTCAGGGAGTTGTACGATAGAGTTAAGGCACCATCATCATTTAGTCTGCAGCCATTGCTTCCTGTTTGTCCAAATTCATGTACACATCACCCAGTATTTACTCTCATGTCTGTACTTAAATCCCTCCTCTCCTTTCAGGTGGCACATTGAAGGCTTGTCCTCAGAAACACTTGAATGGAATACTAGGTTGTCACCTGTCGAATGCCAGTCTCACATGCAGAGTTGTGGGTGAGACTACAGGGATACACCTGTCTTCAAGTCCCAGTGGATCCGCAATTAGCCTCTGGTAGCAATGAGGCCAGGCATAGTGATTCCTCCAGCACCTGCAGCTTTGCAGAAAACATCGATTCAAGAAACCAGTTGTTGCTCCACAAAGGTAAGAAAGAAAAGGCACAGGAAGCTTCCATTGATACATGGATTTTCACTGTGTATGGGTGAAGGAGACAATTCAGACCCCGTCGTGTTCTCTGAGGGTCAAGTTGAAGTCTGCAGTGCTGTAACATGGTAAAGTGAGCCAATGCCTGATTTTAAGCATCCGCTCTGCCTCCAGGTCATCGGCTTCCCAAATATTTTATGTTGAACTTGGCCAAGTTACTTATCACTGGCATTTATATCTCATCCCCCATTTCAGACTGTGCTGTTATTAAGCACCATAATTTCCAGAGTGACTGGCTAAGAATAGCTCAGTATCCTCTTTAGGTGTTTAGTGACTCGTTTAATTTGCATATAGTTGAAGACTAACAAAGTGATCTTGTACTTTTGTTCCACGTGCAAATCAACCATGTTTGTAGTGTAACTTCCCAGGGACTGTCTTTGATAAGACAAGTGACTGACTTACTTTCCCTCCCTCCCTCCCTTCCCTTTTCTATTTATTTTTCCTTTCTCCCTCTGTTGCTCTTTTTTCTCCCTTCTATCTTCCTTCCCTCCCTCCCTTCTTTCCTTTCTCTCTCTCTCTTTCTCACTCTCACTCTCTCTCTTTCCTTCTTTCTCTTTCTCCTTTCATTCTTGCTTCCTCAACATTCCCTTCTAAGCCAATTTTCCTCTGTCAGACACTTTCAGCCACAAGGTGAGAGCCATATTCTTGTCAGTGTACATTCTAGGCCCTCACCTTGGTTTCCTGATTAATTCAACTTATTTTCTGGTCCCCTCTCTTTTTTAAATGAACAGGAGCCTTCATACATGAAGTGATCAGGCTCGTTTCTGACTCTTCCTGGAATTTATCAGCTCCGCTCATCTCCATAGCATGTCCCAGTTTCTTGCCCACAGTGATCCACTTCTGCTCAGATTTCCTTACAACTGAGCCTTGGACCCTCCTGCCCATCCTACCTGGATCCTGTCCATCCTTTTCCCTGCCTCTATGGTTGCCTGTGGCTTATGTCTGCTGCAGCCTACCTTCTAGAAAGGAGGGGACTGGTGTGCTCAGGAGGAGGAATATGTCTCATGTGACAGTGACCACCAGTTGACTCTTTGGGAGAGGGCTCCTGGCCAGTGCTCAGTGAGAGGCAGGCATACATACTCTCTGCCACATGTGCCATGATACCTTGTCCCTCCCAACTCCTCTTTTCTTCCCCTGATCTTTTACTTCTCCTTGGATTCTCACAGTACCAGCACAGCTCACCCACTGGCTCAGTCACTCTCTTCCTGTTCACACTCAAGGTCACTCTCTTCCTGTTCACATTCAAGGGATAATTGGCTGAGCAATGGTAGGTTCAAGGCAAGACTTTGCAGTCTAGGGTGCTTTGAAAGGGCTTTGCAGATTTTGACACCAACCATACTGTGCTTTCTATCTGGTGCATAGCAGGTTGTGTTACTGACAACATATATTTCTCTCACTCTTCCTAAATCTTTTTTTTTATTTCCAACCTATTGTGAAAGCTGTCAGAATGCAGGAGCCCAAATTTCCAAAACCCCAGTTAAGGTCATTTTTTGATATAGTATGTACACACACACATGACACTGAGAGTGCTTCAGGATGTTCATGGAATGCCATGGGTGTTGTGGCATAGTGGATAACTGCCCCTTTGGGCTGTCCATATTCTTTGTCAGTGTACCTAGGTACAAATTTGTCTTCTGTCTCTGATCCAGCTCCTTGCTACTGTGTACCCTGGGAGGCAGCATGTGATGACTCAGTTAGTTGGGTGCCTGCCCTTGATGTGGGAGGCTGAGATAATGTTCCTGGCTCCTAGGTTTGGCCTAGCCCATTCTTGTTGCAGATATTTGGGGAGTGAAAAAGTACATGGTTGATTCCTCCCTCTCACTCTGACATTCTGTGTAACTGTCACTCTTGGATTTTCATTGAAATGAAAATAAATGGGGCCGTCTCGTGGCGTAGTTGGTGAATCCTCCACCTGCAGTGCCAGCATCCCATATGGATGCTGGTTCTAGTCCCATCTGCCCCTTTTCCAATCCAGCTCTCTGCTATGGCTTGGTAAAGCAAGATGGTCCAAGTGCTTGGGCCCTGCTCCCACATGATAAACTGGGAGCAACCATCTGGCTCCTGGCTTTAGACAGGCAAATCTCCAACCATTGCTGCCATCTGAGGAGTGAACCAATGGAAGGAAGACCTTTCTCTGTCTCTCCCTCACTGTCTGTAACTCTCCCTCTCAAATAAAAATAAATAAATACATCTTTTTTAAAAAGAAAAAGAAAATAAATGTTTAAAAAGATGTTCATGGAAAATGGAATTAAACATGAGTTCTGTATGTCACAGAAACTTTTTGAAATCCTTGCACTGTGTGGTCATAATATGCATTTCCATAAACTTTCTAAAGAACACTCCAAAATATATTTGTCCTTGTATGTTCCTGAATTCCATGATATATATCATATTATTTTCAGTAATGTTACATATAATATGCTCATATGAAGTGTATAATGATACATGTTTTTCATCTTCTCCAATTTTCCTTATAATTTTGCTCTTGTGGGTTTTCCTATGACTTTTATATAACTCATTTTTAGGTGACATCTCCATTCCTAGTAGCACAACCTCTGTCTAGTATGATTAGCCCTTGCTTTTGTCCTATGAATCTGAGAACTATTTGTTTTCATTTGCTCCAATTTTCTTAATTTTTTTTTGTCAAATAGCAGTAGGTTTGCCTATTGGCAATCTTATCCTGAAATCATTTCTAAGGAAGCCAATGATAAGAAAATGCAAAAGCATCTCTATTGGCTTCCCTTGCCCCTTGGACTTTCTTGTCCAAGGTCACTTTGCTTATCCAGTGTCCACCTTGGTGGAAGTGTGTGTCAGAATAAGGTCATATTGGCTGGCGCTGCGGCTCACTAGACTAATCCTCCCCTGCGGCGCCAGCACCCCAGATTTTAGTTCCGGATTGGGCACTGGATTCTGTCCCGTTTGCTCCTCTTCCAGTCCAGCTCTCTGCTGTGGCCCAGGAAGGCAGTGGAGAACAGCCCAAGTGCTTGGGCCCTGCACCCGCTTGGGAGACCAGGAAGCACCTGGCTCCTGGCTTCAGATTGGCACAGTGCACTAGGGGTGAACCAATGGAAGGAAGACCTTTCTCTCTCTCTCTCTCTCTCTCTCTCTCTCTCTCTCTCTCTCCTGCCTAACTCTGCCTGTCAAAAAGAAAACAAAAGAATAAGGTCATATAACAGTGGATATTGTTGCCTGTGGTTTCATTTGCAGTGCCTGTTACTGATGGCTATCTTGCGAGCAATCCCAAGCAGGATAATACCATTGAGGGGTCAGCTACCAGCAGCCATGCAAGCCAAGTCACTGTCCACCCTGTGGGCTCCGATGTCCTAAGAAAAGAGATGATCCAAAGAAAATGCCATTTTAGCAAATGGAGATTATCATACCGTATCCCTGGATTTCGACTTGAGGTGCAGAGGTAATCACACTGTTATTCTTAGATGCATTTATTCTGTATTGCTCTCTCTATATATGAGTGCTTTACCTCATTTCCCTCCCCCCAATTTTTTCTTTCCCTGATTTGTTCTCTCCATCATCTGCAGTAACTTCTGTCTAGTCTTCCTTCTATTTTCCATTTGTAATGGCAGGGGAATGTGCCCTGGTTCTTGATTTCTTTCAATATAGAGATAGGGAAAGAGTCCAAGATGCAAAGTCGTAGTATTTTATAGGCCAGTGAGAACAAGGGAGGTGGGAGAAAGCTGCAGAGCTAGATGTCCAGTAGGGGAGTGTAATCATGGGTCTCTAATAGGTACCCTAACTTCAGTTTCATCTGTGTCACTGGTGTGGCCACCAGGACATGGGTGTGGGAGTCACTGGGCTGTGATCTACCTGGGAAGGGGCTGTGGTAGGAGGGGTCCAGCCATTCTGCATTTTTTGAGCACTGAAGGCACATGATGGTAGAGGCCTGGTGAGCATGCAAAATGGGAAGCATCATAAGTGGGGGAGAAGGGAAATTCACCAGCTTCCAGAGCATGCCTGTCCCTGCCTAAATCCTCCTATCATTACACATGAATTGCCAACCAGTCACTGTCATCTGCATCTCCTTGGCTGTACTCTAAGCTCTGCTCTTTCCCCATAGCTGCTGTCCTCATTATCCCACTCACAGACCTAGAGTCAAGTTTGCCTTCAGATCCAGTGTTCAAGGGATTACCATGACCCAGTAGCCACACTTCAGGGACACACTCAAGCTACAATGAGGCAGACTTCATTAGATGGTACAATAAAGAGACATTGGTCAAAAGGTAAACTTAAGGGAGGGTGTTATGGCACATGCAGTCAAGCCACGGCTTGGGATGCCTGCATCCGTATTGGTGTGCTGCCTCAAACCCTGGCTACTGTACTTGCAATCTAGCTTCATAGTAATGGTTCTGGGAAAGACATGGATGATGACCCACATATTTGGGTCCCTGCCCCTAGTTCTGCACTCCTAACTAGTGAATCAGTATATTTAAGTTCTTTCTCCCTCTGTTTCTATTCTTTCACTCTTTGTCTTCCTCTGTCACTTTGTCTTTCAAATAAATAATGAATGTTTAAAAAGACAACCCTCTAATATTCACACAAAATATTATTTTCTAAATTAGACATAAGCACAGGGCTTCAAAAAATGTGTAGAGCAAGACAAGCTTAGACATTCTGACTTCTCCTACTAGTTTTGGGTCTGGTTTGCCGCAGTTTTTCTAGATCCTTGAGATGCATTGATAGCTCATTTGTTTGGTGCCTTTCTAATTTCTTGATGTAGGCACCTATTGCTATAGACTTTCCTCTTAACACTTTTTTGCTGTATCCCATAAGTTTTGATATGTTGTGTTGTTACCTTCATTTGCTTCCAGAAAGTTTTTGATTTCCTTTTGATTTCTTCTATGACCCACTGTTCATTCAGGAGCATGTTGTTCAGTCTCCATATTTGCATATGCTCTAGGAATTCCCGAGTTGCTAATTTCCAGCTTCATTCCATTGTGATCTGAGAAGATGCATTGTATGACTTGGATTCTTTTGAATTTGCTGAGACTTGTTTTATGGCCTCGTATGTGCTCAATCCTAGAGAACGTTCCATGCACTGCTGAGAAGAATGTACATTCTGCAAGTATAGGATTAAAGGTTCTGTAGATATCTGTTAAATCCATTTGGTCTGTAGTGTCGATTCAATCTGCTGTTTCCTTGTTGATTTTTCTGTCTGGTTGATCTGTCCATTACTGAAAGTGGAGTATTGAAGTCCCCCAATACTATTGTATTGGAGCTAAGTCTCCCTTTAAGTTCCTTAACATATCTTTTAAATAACCCAGTGCCCTGTAATTAGGTGCATATAAGTTTATAATAGTTACATCTCCCTGTGGAATTGATGCCTTAATCATTATGTAGTGCCCCTCTTTGTCTCTCTTAACAGTTTTTGTGTTACAGTTTATTTTGTCTGATATTAAGATGGCTACACCAGCCCTTTTTTGGTTTCTGTTGGCGTGGAATATCTTTTTCCAACCTTTCACTTTCAGTCTGCATGCACTTTTGTTGGAAAGATGTGTTTCTTGTAAGCAGCAAATAGATGGGTTTTCTTTTTAATCCATTCAGCCAGTCTGTGTCTTTTAACTGGGGAGTTGAGGCCATTAACGTTCAGTGTGACTATTGATAAGTAGTGACTTTGCCCTGCCATTTTCCCAAAGATATTTCTAATATATACTTTGACTTTCTGTGATCTTTTACTGAGAAATTTTCTTCCTTTACCTTCTTTCGTATTGATGACCGTGTTTCTGTGTTTCTGTGTGTAACACATCTTTAAGCATCTTTTGCAGGGCTGGACAAGTGGTGACACATTCTTTCAATTTCTGTTTGCTGTGAAAGTTCTTTATTTCACCTTCATTCACAAATGAGAGCTTTGCAGGATATAATATCTGGGTTGGCAGATTCTCTCAGTACTTGGGTTTTTAATTTGTTCTATTGAATTCTTCATTTCATTTCAATTTCTCTTCAATCTCTCAATTTCATGTTCTATTAAATTCCTCATTTCATTTTGATTCTTCAAGATTTCATTTTCACAAGAGAAATTTTCTGTCTTGTCCTTCATGGATTTCAGCAGTTCATGCATTTGTTTTAGATTACATCTAATATTCTTATCATAAATTTTTTGTTCCATTTCTTGCATTTCTTCCATCTCATCATCTTCTTAATCTTGTATTGGAGTGTCATTTTCTTTGGGAGCATCATGTTTTCTTCCTTTTTCTTGTTTCCTCGATTTTTCCGTTGTTTTTGGCATTGTGGAAATATGCTTTGGTTTCTTCTTTTTTTTTCACTATGGTGGCTTTTCTTGTTATACTATGACTCTAGATTAAGTGGACTGTCTGTGGTTGGTGTGGCCAGAGAGCTCTGTTCAGTTCTTCAGGGTTAAGGGTGTGCTTAAGGTGACACACCCAGGTTTGGCGTGGTAAATCAATCTCCCTTTCCCCCACCTCTTTCTTTGTCTCTCTCTCTCTTTCTCTCTCTCTCTTTTTAATCAGAAGGGAAGTAATCAGCTGAACACTTCTCCTCGATGGCGATCAGTGCCTGAGCGCTATCCCCAGTGGATACAATATTCATCTGCTCTGTCCCAAGAACCACACAAAAGATCTGTGCAGTCCTCAGTGTAAGCTTAGAATCCCCTGCAATGTCTCTCACTGGGTAGCCAGGGCCGCCCGAGCTTGTGGCATCTCCCAAGGAGACTACTCACATCTCAGCCAAACCATGAGTTCTCCCACACACCCCACACACCCTCCATTGTGTTTTTTTTTT